GGGGCAGGCAGGAATTGAACTCATGCGGAAGTGGCTTCAGCTTCTCAGCTGTGCTTTAACCCGTGAGCCACCAGGGAGGGCCAGAAAACTGTTTTCTACTCTTAGTAGATAGTAACAAAAAACTCAAATGAAAATGACTTTTCAAATGAGGAACATTCATTATCTTATATAACAAGAACTGCATAACAGGGTTAAGTTCAGTCTTCAAGTATGTTATCAGAGTCTGATTCTTATCTTTTCTTCTGTTATTGTCAGAATATTAGCTAGTTCCTTTTGCATAACACTTTCTGCTTGCAACACAGACTCATCATGTATTCATTCAATAATCTCCAACTGTAAGTGGATATTTGATAATTAATATCTCTTTGTAATTGTTGTAACAAACCTGACTCCAGAAGACTTCTGTCTCTTTTGCTAAAATTGTATCATAAGCTGTTTACATAGCCTGCAACTTTCCTGTAAGGGGAAAGGCACATCAGAAGGATGAATCCTCAATCATGATTGAGATTTTTTATTTAAGAACAAAGTGGGACAATAAATGTTAGATAAATAATCAATATTACCCACATAGCCCTTGGCTTTGATTTATTATATATATATTTTTAATTGTATTTGTTACCAATACATTTTTGTAGAACATTTAAAAACAGTATCTTAAAATTAAGGTAACATTGTTTTATAGAAATGTATATGATTCAGAAATACAGGCTCCCACCTTTTCAGGCATATGTTGCCACACCACAACCATCATCAAGGCACCCACAGTTTTCCAGTGTAGTCCAGTTGCATGATATAATTACCAAACAGTAATTATTATATATCAACCTCTGGTTGAGAACCTCTGGAACTGTAAAAGATATAGAACAATAATTTTACCCTTCCAGAGTGGATTTTAGGAAATCTTCTGAAATAACATCAATCACAAAGCAAACAGCTCACTATACAAAACATACAGATCAGAAGGAATGGTTTAGAATAAAGAATGACTAGGCTCTTATGGGGTAAACTCCTCTTGTGTTTTGTCACTGAAACAGCCTCTGATGTTTTTCTTTGTGTCTCTAACTCCTGAATTTCTTCCTCACAGTAACCAGAACTTTTCCTTTCTAGTATTAATAACAGTCAGTAATTAGGAATTTATGCATGCAACAATTTAATATTTGTCTCTTCCAAGAGGCAATTATTGAATTATGGAAGGGGCTCCAGAAAACATAAGCAAATGAGTCCAGTTTCATTTTTTAAATACTTACTGGAAGATGTATAGTAATGGTGATAGGTCAGTTTAGTGAATACTTTGGCAAAAAGGTATATAGGTAAGAACTGTGGAAGACAATGTATTGCAGTTATAGCTGAAGGATATAGGAAAGCAATGAAGAGCACTAATTGTAGAAGTTTTTGAATATGAAATCGACAAGTATGACTTTAGGAGTTTTCCTCAAATTGCTGAGATTTACTAATGCTATTAAAGCAGGAAATGAGAAGAAAAATTGCTCTGTTAAAACTAGAGTCATACCCTTAAATCTTATCATAGTCTGTTTTTCTGTTTTTTCTGTACTTCTCCCTGAGCAGATTTTCTTGTACTTCTAAAATTCAAATCTTTGTTTTTGCTTTGTGAAGCAAAAGTTATAAATTAGATTTAATGAAAATCTCAAAAATTAAGGTATATTCAGACTAGTTTGGAATATGAAAGAATTACTAAATTCTATACTTTATATAATCTATCCCTCATAATACTTCCTTCCCTCTTTAAAATACCCAATTTAGGAAGTAATTTGTTCTAATAAGAATGCCACTTCTCAAAGCATTTTTTTTTAAGTCTCTTTGGATTTGTCATGAGAATCTATGGTACAATTCTTCTAAATTTCCTCAGTGTTGAATAGTGATAAAGTTTAAATTTAAGTAATTACATTAGAATTTTCCAGAAAATAGAATACTTAGATCTTATTATGATGATCGGGTTATCATTATCATATTGACAGGTTTTTTTTTTTTTTTTTTTCACTAAAGAGCACCATCCTACCATGTAACCCACGTGTGTTAGGGCAAATATTTACAGCTAACTACTGGGCCAAACAGTCCAGAGATGGCTTACAATCACAGTGTTATAATCTTATGTTTCTTTCTGATAAGAAGTTAAGTGGCTAATATTAAAATAAGCAGAAGTATTATAATGGTCTGTAAGTAGTAAATAGGCTACATAGTGTAAAAGACTTCTGATAGTAATTTAAATTGTGTGGCACACTTTGGTATTTTCTCAAACAATCTATATACAGTATCTATGCTTATTTCAATGTTAGTACTAATAAAAGTCTTACAAGTTCCCTGCGAATAATGTTTTCCAGTTTGGGGAGGTATTAAAGAGCTCACCTTGTCTTGCCTCCTCTGTACATCATTATTCTACTGCCTCACCCATAGCTTTTGGGGCATTAATGTGTACTTTTTCATCCACAGATTTGTAGTGTCTTATACCACCTAGCTTGAAGGTTCTCTCCACATGGGTATCTGGTACTAGATAATAATGAAATTATTTTTGGGGAAATGAACATGAATCATAAAGACAGAGTACTCAGAAAGTAGCATGGAATAGAAATTTGAAGCTACATTAAGGAAAGTTGTTAGTAGAAACCATATGAAGTGAGAAGGTTAGAGGAAGCTTAGGCCATAATGATATAGAAAGAGGAAGCAGGTAGTCAGAGAAGAGGTGAAGTTGCTGAGTCAAAGCACATGGCAGTCTTTTAGCATTGTGACTAAGCCATAGCATATCCTGGAGAGCAGTGAATGAATTTCTGATTTTCTTTGTGCTCTGCTGGATGGTTTTGTTTCCTTGACTTTCTGTGTATCCTGGCAATAAGTTCTATCACTGGAAATTTAAATTGGTGTCTGTTCCCCACAAGCTGAATGACCTAGTGTCTTTGTTTTGCATCTTTTGTTGATTTAAAGAGTTTGTTTAGTTTTCATGTGAGACAAGTTAGCTTTATCATGTTCTGTGATTATTCAGCAGTTGGGAAACACATAGTTTTAAGAAGAATATAAGAACTAGGCCAAACTGATCATCAATGTTTATGAAATAAAGACAAAAGCACATTTTAGCTTACTCTTTCTTACCATTTACTAGGTAAATCTCACATAATTTGTTGTACTAACACTATCAGAATCACTTGGAATTGGGGAAGGGAAATGGTGAGAGTTGCCCAAAAGGATTCAGGGCTGTTGTCAGATAAAAAACAGATAGGCCAGCAAATAAAAATGAAAGGTAACCCCTGCATAGTTATGTTGGGAAAGGCAAAGTATACTTGATAAGATCTTATATTCTAGTAAAATCTAGTAAAATAATTTAGAGCAACCTGGGAAATGGCTATAAAATTGCTAAATACAAAGTAATGGAGCAGATGGATTCCATAACAAGAACCAGAAGGGCAGACTAGAAAACAAAGTTGGGTGGGCTCCGTAAATAAATAAGTAAATTAAATAAATAACAGACTAAGTATTGTATTGAAGGTATATGATTGAAACTTTGAAATATGGAAAAGATAACATTTTACTTTGTGGTGGAAGTATATGGATTATTGCATAAAATTACATTTGTCAAATATTTGACAACAAGCAAAATACATACATTAATAAAAGAAAGCCCATTCTGCATTAAAATAAAGAATTTGTGTTTGCCTTTACATGAGAATTTGTCCTCTAAGTAGCTATTTTTATGGAACTGTTCATGAGATTTGTATACCTTTCCTCCTGGCTGCTCACTGCCCTTCCTCCAGGTGGATAAGCTTGGTGACCTTTTGTAGCATCGTTGCAGAAACTGCTGCAGAAACTGCCACCATGACATAAATTCTACCACATACCGCAGCCATCAAATTCTGATAGCTCAGATGGTCTGAAGGGATGTCCACATTTACCAAATCTAAAGTGCAGTGATCTACTCAAGACAACATTTGCCACTGTTTTGAATCTTGGTAGATCCTCAGAGTGTAGAAAAGGCCATTCTTCTCTCCAGTACTGTGTGTGCTCAGTGAAGGCTGACTTGCATAGAAACTTGTGTTGACAACAATAACCCAAACTGCAATTGCTGGGATCCAGTACTTTACCTGTCAACATATGAGTGTGTGTGCACATGGATGCGAATACACACAATTTTCCATGTAGCATGTGCCTACCTTTAATTCTTTCAGAGGAAATAGGCATTTTATAGAAGTTTTACATATTTGTGAAAATGAAGAGGACAGGCTAGAAGTCATAATTTTGCTTATGATGACATTTGTGTGTGAGAATAAGTTGGAGAAGTAGTTGTCTGTGCTAAACTTACTGTATTGAGCATACAGTATTTTATAATTGGGACGGAGTGTTATGTGAAAGAATTATTGTGGGTCTAGCTAATTGGAAAGAGATAGAATTGTTTTGTATAAAAATAGTTCAAAGTCCAGTAATACATACAAACTGACACTTATTTATACCTAATGATCACACAGCTCTATATTCTCAAATATGTTGAAGCTTGTTTCATTTTATTATACCAATAAACTCTATTTACATGTCATCTTCCCAACATGGTTATTTACATAGATTTACATATTATCTCTGGTGATGTTGACACTTCATGGTTCATTTAAATACTACTCTAGCTTTATACCAGGTAGGGTGACCAATAGTCCTGGCCTTTGTGAGATTGAAGGACTTCTTAGGATTTGTGCCAAAGCTCGGTCAGTCCTGAGCAAACTGAGATGAGTTATTTACCTTAGTCCCACTTTTGCTGTTAAGTCTTTACCAACTTTATTCAAGTCACACTAAATTTGCCTTCAATAATTTTTGTATTTAAAGTTCAGACCTACCCAATGTTTTAGCAGTTCATTTAACACATCCCTATTGAAGGATAGACTATACTCTTCTTGAGGATGCAAGTCATATCTTTTTAACATTTTACTTCCTAATATTTAGCTGCATGCTAGTTTTTCAGAAATGAATCTAATAATTAAAATGTTTGTTTACATTATTTCAACCATTACACAAGTTTTCTTTAAAAAGTAAAACATTTAACTTTAATGATTTTACTTTAGAATAGTGAGTTTTAGCAAGTTGGTTAGCCTTTCTCAGCCTCAATATCTTAAATCTGTAAAATGGAATAAAAACAGTTGTTCATCCCCCTCCTTACTTTCCAGGAATATTGTAAGGATTAAACAGCATAAAGGCTAAGTGTTAGATTTTTGTCTAGCATACAGCACCCAATTTGTTAGTATATTACAGTTATTAATAAGTGATTACAAATCAGTTTCCTGTATTCTCCATGCCTTTTTTTTTTTTAAGGGAATTTATGTTATCCCAGGCAAAAGCAGTTATTAAAACTACTGAAGATTATTTGCAGCCTCAGTTTGGCCCCAACAGACTTTTGCATTCAGCGGCAGTATCAGAAGGGTCAGGACTTCAAGATTGCTCCATACATCAAACACCATCAGATCACAGCCATGATGAAATATCAGACCTAGACAGCTACAAATCAAACAGTAAAAACAATTCTTGTTTTATATCATCATCCAAGAGAATCAGACCTGTCAGTGCTCCTGAGGGTCAACTGAGGTAATCAAAGCTGTTCTCTGTTCTTTTTAACTGAGTCTTGAGGTTTCTTGCCTTTAAGCAGAATTTATGATTCCACTGATTATTTCAGACATTAACATGTAACACATAACACATGTTAACATGTAACATGTTAACATGTAACACATGTTTCTGTTTTTTTTTCCTATGAAAGCACTGAAGTAGGATGTTGCTAATTATTCTTGTGGAAAACATGAGATACACTTCAACCTGGATTATGTGGAATACTGAAAAGAATAGCAGAATTAGAAGCCAGCTAGGACCATGACATATTTTTGGCTAATGGATATGTATTTTAACTATAAATGCATATTTTTGCTAGTTAACCAATATTTAAAAACAAAAGTCAAATTGAAATGAGCTTATGATAGAGCCATTTTGTGTATATGTTTTCATATTCAAACTGTTGCCATATTATTTATGGAAGGCAGAAAATGTTGGTAAAAACAATCAAACAGACTGGTACTTCCACTAGTTTCATATTTGAGTAGAAGAACATATTGTGATTTTATGTAAAGTTTTTATTTCAAGATGTTTGCTACTGTGCCATTAATAATTAAGAAGACTGAAGAACACTAAAATAAAACTTTTGTTATTAGTCCTTTTTGTGTACTATAGCATGGAAAGTATTGAGAATTAAAAATTTTTTTGACTAAAGACAAACTTAGAAATCTTTTGTTTCCTCCAAGCAATTTTAAATGAAAGCAATTTAAATTAACTTTACAATAAAAAAAGTCAGTTATAATCTATATGAATTTCAAGTCTGTTTGAAAAGATAAAAAACTTTGATGAGCATAATCTTATAAAAATATTAACTATTTACTATTGCATAACATTAAAAACCATCTTACTATTTTTTGCTTTCAGAATATAGTAAGTATACATATAATTTTAAAATGAATGTTATGATGCTTAATAAATAAAATAATGAAAATGGCTTATTCTGACATGTATTTTACATGACTATTTTGAGTAAACTCTTTTTAATTACTTTTAAATATTTGTGTGGATGTGGGCAATATTACTCTAAATTTATTTTGAGGGGTATTTATATACACAAGAATAATCATTCAGGCTTATTTCTGTAAAAATGCCCTGGGTATTTACTTTATGTTTTTTACTAATTAATGTGCACCAATTTTTGTGATTTTTTTTCCTTTAGACTTAAGGAGACCTCCTCTTTTAAATCCCTATCAGCTCAGAATTGGCATAAGTTTTCTCAAAGACACAAACATCAACCAAGAGTGATTAGAGCAACAGCATACAAAAATGGATCTAGAACAGTCTTTGCCAAAGTTACTGTATCAACCATCACCCTGGTAACGTGTTGATAAGTTTTCAGCAGTTTATTTCTTCTTTTACTCTTTTTATGATATAAAAAATGAAAATATATTGTTAATCTTTTTTTAGTAATATAAATCTTTAACTTGCCTACATAAATATAGACTTCACAGGTTTTCATTACTTTTTAAAATCAATGTATAAGAATTATGCTCAAAAAACAGATAAAATAGCTTTCTGCTTTGTAGTTATTGTACTGACTGAACATTTAAACACTAAAATTAGAAAATCATTAGATATTCTTGGTGCTATGATTTACCTTTTATTTGTACTTTCAACTGCCAGAAAATAATTATTTTGGTCAAGTTACTTGAGTACTTAACTTGGCAAGTGACTGGATGGGTTACTATGTTGATCATTAGCACCTTTTGCTTCATGGAAATGTATTATTTTTTGTCCTAAATCACTGTCTCTTACCTCTTGTTTTCTTCTAGCTGCTGGAGGAGTGCACAGAAAAGCTGAGTCTGAACATGGCCGCACGACGAGTGTTCTTGGCAGACGGCACAGAAGCCCTCGAACCTGAAGATATACCCCATGAAGCCGACATTTATGTTTCTATGGGAGAGCCCTTTTTAGATCCATTCAAAAAAATTAAAGGTAAAAATGAGAAAGAAATACCCTACCCCCACACAATAAATTGCATAAGGATTGCAATTAAAAAATGATTTTCATCCTGTCTTTTTTGCATGGTTTAACAAAACTAATGTTTACGCATTTACAGCTCAGTAAGAGGATAATGTGCTTAATGAAAGAAAAATCCACTGACAGCCACGTTTATTGCCCTTCATTAGCATTGGTGCTTAATTTAATATAGATCTGAATAGACATTAGGGAGCCTGCAGGAGGTTAAATGGTGAAAATATAATAAATTAAATCAGAGTTTATTGAATTTACTGTTTAGTTTCTGTGACACCCAGCAGACATAATTCATTAGACTTATTCTCTCAGAAAATAGTTTGGAGTTTCAAGTATCATTTCTTCAGTTACACTGTTGATCTTTTTTTAGATGCATTAACATAATTATGAAAATGTGAACAGTAATGAAGATATAATTCTTATATACCTATGGTTTTGCTTAAAAATTTTTCATAAAGTAAATGCTGCAGATTAACAATTTTTACTTTGAAATGTATATATGTAAGATTTGTGGAGAAGATCTTTTTTAAAGTACATAATCTAACATTGCAGAAATGTGGAGATGTTTTAAAATAAAAAGTAACATTTATCTTTTTTTACTGGGAAACATTTTAATAGAAAAATAAAAGTACCATTTCTATCTAAGCATATTGTTTTACCCATGTCCTACCCAGAGTCTGTTATCAAGTGCTATATGTGGTAATCACATTTAAAGGACATAAGAACTTTGCCATAAAAATTCAGCATGTGTAACTACCGTATTTCCCTATGTTTTATATATACATATATATATTTGCAACTGCTGGAAAGCTAGTGAATCAAAGGCAAGTCTAGGCAGTAATCGCATAAGTAGACGAAAAGTAATTCTGGAGTTCAATACAGATGAGGTGATGAAAAAACTTTTTATTTATGTTATTATGTGAAATTATATGAGGATTTCTATCCCTTTGATATTACTTGATTATGAGGAAATAAATAGCTTATTGAATTCTGTTGGAAATTCAACATAATTTCATCCTTGTAAAGAAACTTGTTGCTACGATACTCAGTAAAGATAGCCTAGGGGATAGTGTAGGTCTATTCATTTTTTTTCAAATTTTGATTTACTTTAAATCATGATCACTTTTGTTTTATATCATTGAATCATCTACTTGTATCAAAGCATAAGTTTTTAATGGGTAAATGTTTTTATGACTTTTATATTCAGATATTTATCTAATGAGCACTTCATTAAAATCTTTGATTATTTTTATTAATAATAAATACTTGCCTTTCATATGATAATGGCATTGTAAAAGATAAATAAATAATAGCCATGCTTCTTAGAAAATCTCCTGGACATATATGCTTAACATAACAATTTAATACACATGACTAAGTTTGGTGGATGATTTTTAATGTGCAAACTAATATCCTCCGACTTTGGTCTTCTCTTTTGTCCTTTTTAAAGCCAAGTCCAGGACAAAAAACTTCTCTGCTTTGTCTGCATATCTTTGGCTGTGTTTCACTGTGACATGCACTGCTGTTCTTTTAGCACCAAAATGTTGGCACACACTCCTGAAAATTTCACACCATCTCTTGCTGGATCAGCAAGCTTAACCCACCAAAATCTGGTGTTGTGCAATGGTTTTTGACTGATAATCAATCTTTATGCTGCTCGACAGTTGTTGCTGGGACACGGAGTAGAGCAGGTGGCAGATGTGCCTTGTCTTTTGAGAAAAGAAATTGTAGGTGAGCTTGGACACAGCCTAGCATATCACATGTCCATTAAAAAGAGTTAGGATAAGTATAGTGAGGGAAAATGCCACTTCTGTAAGTTAAGCTCAGAGATAAGCCTGAAGACTGGTATTTGGCTTATTTCAGAATATTAAGAAGATGAATGTACATAAGTATTTACATGTATATCATAACCTTTACCATGATTTAGGTAGTAAGAGTAAGTAAGAGGATATTATATATGTAGTAAGGGGATATTATATATGTCACCCACATATTCACATATACCTTTAGAAGTCAGGTTATCATTACCTTTCTTGAATGTGTTTATGGATAAATCAGTACTTTGTCAACTTGTCACGAATGTTCCATAAAAATAAAACATGTTTGAATAGCTTTGAAGGTGGTAGATAAATTTAGAACTAAGGAAAAACTCTCAGAAGTTGTAAAATTGAAGATTGTATAGTAAATAAGGCAGAAAGAGTTGGCAGATTTACTTTCTTTCTTCATAAATGAGCATGAATATGTTATTATACATTAGCTAACAGATATTAGAATCAATAACTGGTCATTCCTTTAATGAGCTGATTTTCATTCATTCAGAATTCATTGCAAATCTACGTTATATGCCAGGTAAAATGTCCTATCAGAGACAGATAAAAAAAGGGGTTTATGGTCTGACTTCAGTCATCTCTGATTTTAAGTTCAATTCAATCTAAATTTAAACCAATAAATATTTATTAAATATCTACTTTGTTCTGAGTCCTGGAATAGTGATAGAAAGTCTTAGTCTTCATAGAGTTAAATAGGGTGAATGCTGTAAATTCTTAAAGGTGAAAAGTCTAGTCAATAATGCAAACCAAATCCATCCTCCAAAGAAAAATTTATTTAACTTTGGACACAGCAAGGTCAAATAAATCTGTGTATATGTTGACGTTTATGTTTCTGAACTTTAGTCTTATTCTTCTGAGAGGGAGTATAGGTAGTGAAAATTACCATGGAACTGTTTTACAGTTAGTAAGATAGAAAAAGTCTTTCAAAGTATCTGTGATTTTCAACTGTTTTACTACTCCTTTTGAGTAGCACAGTTGACAACCACTGGCACTGGACTTAATAGAAAGCCAGAGAGCTATTCATCTCATATCTCAAAACACAAAGCTTTCATATAGAGGTCAGGCCAAGGTCAAGACTGTGCATTCACTGTGGAAATGCAATATATTAGAATATTTCTTACATTTTGAAGTTGAATGCCTAAATAGAAACATTAAATATGTATGGGGAAAATAGAAATATTTTTATAAAGACTATTAATTAAAACAAGATCTTACTAAATCTTGTAATTCTTGCATTGAAGAATCTAAAATGTATGAATGGTTCTAGAGTTGCGAAGATAGAATTACAGACCTGTGATTTAGGTTTCACTCAGTTTCTTAAATCTTCTGTTTATAGTAGCATAGTGAAAATTCTTGCATCAGATTCAGAGTCTATAAAAATTTAGCTCCTTTATAATTACTATAAGGAGCTATGGACAAACATAGCATAAAAATGGTTCATGCCCTCTAATTGCTTAACTGTCGTAAAAAGATTAGGTGACAAAAGAGTTTGGACCTCATTTGTTAGTTAAATATTCAGTGCATGGAGCTCTGTTTTTAAAATATTTTTTAGTTTCATATCCCCATTCTTTTTTATGTATGCTATTCTATTTGGTTTTCATAGTTATCATTTACAGTTATTAATTTCAGCCCTGAGTTTTCTTATCCAGAAACTAACTATTAAGAATAAGATTTTACATCTTTTATATTCTGTATTGAGAAGATGTAGTCAGAGAAAAAAAATATCTGGGGAAAGAGTTCTTGATACTACACCTGATCTAAATTTAAACCTAGAGATTTTCTGTTGTCATGTGATACGCAAAATGAAATAATTTGCTGTGACAGCTTGTGATTGACAAGAATATGTGTGAGCACATTTAAAATAGGCCACCTTTTTATGTAGAAGTAAATGTCAGTGAAATGATGGATTCTCATCATTTTAATTATTGATGATTTGGAAATATTTCAATTTCACGACACACAAGACACATTCTAAATAGCAGTGTAACACTTTTTCTCATATCTGTGTCAATAATGAAATGTTCTGTCATATTTTGTTTTTCAAAAAATGCATTAATTTAATGAACTTGTATTCATGCATTATATTCTGTTCCATTATGTTTCCTGAATTTGTTGATTTTTAAATGGTTGTGTTAAAGCAAAAATTTCAGGAAATGATCCACTACCCACATTATTATAGCACACCTTGTTATGCTTGCTGCTGAATCTCAAGACAATGCTGCAGCACTGTTTGTATCAATGGCTGCATTAGTCCTGCTAAACCTAATACTGGACTTTGGTATGCTTACCTACAGGGTGACCGCTGCTTAATTTAGGCAGTTACAGAAGAAGTGGGGTGGTATATATATATATATACCACATCATACTATATATGTGTGTGTGTACACCACACCATATATACACCATATATATATATATACACATACACACACACACCATCCAAACAATACAATCACAGAATATATATAGAATATGCACACACACACACATACATATAAGGTGCCTTATATATGGTAAGATATTTTTTGACAGTCCATTTTTTTTTCTCACTCAATTATAAATACTTAAAAGCAGGAAAATATTGTTATATATAGAAAAAAAGCCCAATTTCTTCTGACACAGCCTAAGATTCTTTTTATCAAATGAGGGTAAAGCTATTGGTGTATATTTTATATATTTCTCTATTCCAAAGGCTTACACCTCTAAATAAGCATGTATCCTTACTATAATTACATGTGGATCTGAAGACAATTGTAAATGATGGGCCTCTTCCAAAAATGCCCTTCGTCAATAGGAAAATCTAACAAGGCATGTATCATCTTCCTATACTGTCAAAATAGCAAATAATCGAAAACATCTAAATTCATGACATACTCATGAAATGTTGAATTTATGTATACAGAAGATAACCTTGTTTAATAAATATGCCCGCAAAACCGTAAATACACTTAAAAAGTGTATGCTTTTTACATGTCTTGTACTTAGCTTTGTATTGTAAGTATATGATACTTACTCCCCATAACCCTAGTTAGTGCTACTAGTCCATAATCTCTTATATGCAATTGCAAAATCCAAAATTTTAGAAAATCACTTGTTTTCATATCATTTTATAGTAGAAATTTATTTAGTAAA